ATTTATATTATTTTTGTGGTGATTTTGATTAAAAAAAAAAAAAAGAATCCGCTCTTTTCAATTGTAATATCCGGTGTAGCGGAATTTCGCTGTGTCTGAATCTGATAATATACACACATACATACATACACATATATAAATGTACAAATGTATTTATGTCAGCCTGTATGTGTATGTGTGCGTGTTGTGTGCTTGCTAGCGTGTGAGAGTGTGTCCGCGTGTGGCTACGTGTGAGTGTGACTGTGTGATTGTGTGAGTGACAGAGAGGGAGAGAGCGAGCGTGTGCTCACATAAACAGGCGAGTGAAATAGAAAATTGAACCCAAGCAGAATAAGAAGAAGAAGAAGGCAATGAAGAAGCATGGAAAGCGTTCGAGACAATTTTGTGTCTTCTTTTGTTTATAGAATTTATCGTGCTGGCAACATTGAGGTTATATAAAGATTAATATTTCTCTGCTTTCACAATTTTTGCAGCTTCAAAAAAATCGAGCGATCGAACAATTAATAAAACAAAAAGTGCAATTAATAAGTGCAATAAAACCCGACGACGACAACAAATATTGTTTGAATATCGCCAATGTGTTCATAGTTCCGTTGTTTAGCTAAGCGATATTAACAATTTATAAATTAAAATTAAACCAAGATCAATAATGCAATAATTATGAAACAAAACAAGTGCAATTAATACAAATTTACAATTATTAAATAAATAAAGTACAATTAGTTAAAAACACAAACTTTGTCACAATTTTGAAACAATAAACCCAAATATATAAACAAATTAAAATTTGTAAAATATATTCCATTTGAGGATTATTGCTTGCCTTAGGACTTTCGCCAATTGTGAGTATAGCAAAATTATTTAAGAAATTCAATTTATCGGCGTTAACATTTGCGTTTGCTACTTCTACGAGAGTTACTAAATAAAGAGTTTATAGGAGAAATTTGAAAGAATATCGAAATCTTCGTTGAAAGTTAAAAAATGGCTATAGTTGCACGCAGATAACCGGATATAATGCAAACGTGGCATTCGAATTGATAAATAAATTACGAATTTATTTATTTATTATTTGGGGGCAAAATCTTTTTTTAAAGAGACAACAAATGTACAGAGAAAATTCCCCCTCTTTAAATTGTCATGACAACTTTATTTTATTTTTTTATCTACGTTTAGATTTAGATGAGTGTTCCTCAAATTGATTGTTGTTGTTGTTGTTATTGTTCATGTTAGCCAGAGAAAAATACCTGCAATTTTGTAATTATTGTTTTACGGTCTGGTTGAGATGATTTCTGTGGGCTTTTTATCGTATGTACATACTATATGTGGTGTGTGTAGAAAAGAGTTTCGCGAAGAATTCTAACTTGAATTTGCAGAGAGCGAGAGAGAGAGAGAGAGAGAAAGAGAGAGAAGAAGGCGTAGGAGAGAGGGAGACCTCTATACCTAGTAAGGATATTTTTTGATGTTTGAACTTGTTTGCTTCCACAGATCATATGATTTTAGTAATTTTCTTACATTTTGAGGTGTCAGTGAACTACAAACCAGATACTTTCAGTTGCGTGTTTGTTTAGGCTCAAAAAAAAAAAAAATAAATAAATAAATAAAAAAAAAAAAAAAAAAAAAAATTGAATAAAATCACACAGCAAAAGCGACACGTAAGTAATGGAATGGTATGGATTGTTGGTGGTACGAGAGATGACGCTGACGCTCGAGAGCTCGCGCGGTTATTGACTTTCCTTTCCTTCACTTTCCCTTCCCGTACCTTCCCTTCCCATCCCAATCTGCTCGCTAGCCACGCCGATCGTCATTGCCTCCATGCTTTGTTTGTTGTTTATGTTGATGTGTCTTGTTTGCGACTCTTCACTTTTGGTTAATTTTCTTTGGAATCATCGGCGGACAGCATGTGTAAAAATTTATTATATGAATCAATTTTCTTTGACGCTGGGAAAAAATTGTTAGAGCTTTTCGCTCAACCAAAATATACCCTATGTTAAATGTTGCAATATTATCACATCGATTATAAGATATTTTCGAATGGCCCGTTATTCAATAGACCCCCTAAACATTTCAGTCTAGATTATATAAGCGGATATATAAAATAAAATTAATACGGGTATGAAATAACAGAATTTCCAACTGAATAATCCAGACTCTACATAACGAATCCTGAAACATAATTTCTGATTTATAAGAGAAAATATCAATTATATAGTACTTGTTGACCAAGCTTTAAAATAGATGTACTGTATTTTGTAGAAAGTCGAGTTCATATTAATATTTTATTTCCCTAGAAGCATTACTCATTCTAGAAATTGCAACGCACGTACTTGAACTTTTTAAGATTGATTCACCTTGGCATGTTGACAGGCTGAAGAATAAACATATGTTTTAACTAGAACAACAAAAGAGAGGGAGAGAAAGCAAACGAGATAGAGAGAGAGAGGTAGATGGAGAGAGAGAGAGAGAGATAGATAGCGAGAGATGGAGAGACTGGCAGTTAATTTGGTTATTGTAATTTGTCTGGATTTTACGAGAGATTAATAGCAACTTACATATATGGCCTAGCCTAAATATATAATTTGTTGTTTTTCTTCTTTTTGTGTGTGATGGAAACACATGTTTTGTTGTCTGCCAGAACGCATCATATTGCTTTGTGTTCTGGTGAGGTCAATGACCGTAGGAGCAACCATTGCCGGAAATATCAATTTAAATATTTGTGTTAATAACAAATCTATAATGTGATTCGAACTATACACAAATTTTGACAGTTTAATATAATGGTGACGGCGGTACATACCTTCCATTTAGCTTAGATGTAAGCAATGGAAAACTTGAAGGCCGGCGAAGAGCTATATAAAAGGTTCTCTGGACAACGTTCTCACGTTGCACGAGACTCTTTCAATAAAGACTGGGAGAAGTGGCAAACGCGCAACCTTAATGTGGCACATCACTTGGCAACCAAGTTGGACAAGCCAATTGATGAGATATCCGATCTGATGTACAATATTACGGTACAGAACTACAGTCAGATTTTGAATCCAATAAGCGGTTTTGCGAACAAATTTGAAGTGCCGTTCGCCAGCGCTGATGCGTGTACGAAACTCCTGGCTATCTTTGACTTTGAGGGCAATCTTCGCCATCCATCGGATCCCAAGAGTCTTTTTCAACTTCTACAATTGATGCAGCATATATCGCGGTGGGGCTCCAATTGGGAGAAGAAACAGTCACAAATCGAAAAAAAAATGCAGCACGGCACCATGTCGATATTACCTGAATTTAAATTGCCATTGAGTTGTATGAAAAAAAACGGCAAAAGCGAGATCATTATCGGCAACAACAACAACAGGCTCAGCCTCAACAACAACATCAAGGACAACAACAACTATTACATCAACAATGACAACATGAGCATTAAAAAAATATCCAAGAAGAGGAGCCGCACTAGCGTTGTCAAAAGCATCGACAAGCATAGTAATCTCAAACCACGTCGTAGCGTGGTCTCGCATTTCAAAAGTATATCCGGTGTTAAAAAGTCTTACAAATCAAGGAAGTCGATTACTAGCATCAATACATCAAAAGCGAAAAAGGGTGCAGGATACTCTCTTTTGCCTATGCAAGAAATATTATTGATGGATGACAACGGACGGCGACGTGGACTTGGAACCATAGATCTCGCTATTTTAAAGTTGAAGCAAAAGTATTTTTTGCGTTTATTGCTAGAGAAAAACATGAAAGATAATCCTGATAAACTTCTCAATGCCTTGATTGAAGCAGACTTGGGAGACCCTTTAAAGGAAACAAAACCTGATAACGCTGCCGCAGCAGAAATATCCAACTTCTACTCAGCTGTTGTGTCAAAGCCGGAAAGGTTTGCAAACGTTCACTGGCAGGTGCCAAAACTATATCAGTTTAAAAAGGAGAACTTACCGTTCAGTGATCGTGTGCTCTTGCTGTACCATGAGCCATGGAAATTAGCCGAATCGATGAGTGCCATTCATTGGAATAAATATTACGATGTGCTGCGGAGCCATGAGATAAGGCACCGATCAGAATACTTACATTGAATCCAGAGTATATTGTATATAGTATTATAGAACTGCCTACAGCCAATGGCAGTAGGCGTGTAAGGAAAGAGTCAAAGTATTTGCTGCCAATGAAACAGATTTTAGTTTCAAAATAAAATTGTTCAAGTACACACGCTTTTAAATTTTTAATTTCAATGCCAATATACTGTTCCCCTTCCTGCAGTCAGCCAGTCAGTCAAATACTACGTTTGCTGAACTGTGAGAGGGAAACAGAGTCTGCTAAGAAATGCAAACGGCTGAGTCCAGTTTGGAACTCGGAGGAGCGGCGATGGTGTCTACACAATGGGAGTATGTTAAGAAAGCTGGTCGGCATAGTACGTAAGCCGTTACATCAGGTGTGCAGCTTTATGTTTGAGTTAACAATGAAAAAGTTTGGCGAGATAACTAATCCAAAATGCTCGCGCTGGACTTACTGCCGGGTGCCGCTCGTACGGCCGGATACTTGTGCGCTCTATGATGGCATTTACGATCGTCAGGGCAATCTTCGACCAGTTTTCCATCCGTATATTCTTCATTTAGTTGTTGCAATATTGCGTCACTATTTGAATTTACCTTGCGCGGTGGAAAAGCCACCAAGTAAAAGGCCAGAGTATGAAATGTTTGTCAGCAGGAAGGGGACAACGTGCAAGGACTTTTTTAAACCGCGCAGGAAGCGTGGAAAGAGATTCGGGAGGGGCGGAAGAGGCGGTAAAGGTGGTTCTGGTGGTGGTGCTGGTGGTGGTGGTGGAGGAGGTGGCGGTGGTGAGGGTGATGATGACGATGATGATGGYTTTGATGATGATGATTTGGCAGACTTAAACGACTTCTTGAATAATTCCACGTTTGGCGATGAGTTTGGAGATGGCAGGGGTGGTGACGACAAAGATGGTAAAGGTAGAGGTGGTAAAGGTGGGAAAGGTGGTAAGGGACAAGGTGGAGATAGCGATAGTGATGACGATGATGATGATGGTGTTGGCGACGATGGCGCTAAAATGAAGAAAAACATCGCCGATATTTCTGACTTGTACTCAAGTATAGTGGAGACAAAACGCATGGTTAAGAAAAAGCCAAAACCACCTAAGAGAAGACCTTTCAGAGGAGCCGGTCGGCAATACATGGGAGTGATCTTACCAGTGTTAATGCATGAGCCATTTGATGATACAAAACCGTGGACCTGGATCCGTCGCCATCCTATACAAGAACGGGTGCTTGAAGGAACTACATTAGGACGTGCCAAGATACACAAGTACAAGCGTGAAACTCTTGAGGTACAATACATAAAAGCGAGACAAAGGAATTCAGTCCGCAGTTTGTATGGGGTTAAGGATCATCCATCGATCATTTCTTATGACTTGTTTGGCAAGGGTGAAAGACCAAAGAAAGCCCCGCCTTTGGTTAAACCTTTCAACTATAAAAAACTGTTGGAGAGGAATGACGTTGCCAATATGTCACGCCGCAATAAGAGTCAAATAAAAGCAGGACAGAAAGCCAAATAATAGAAAGATGTCGAGCTCTCGAAATATGCACGGATATTCACATAGGCAAATTTTTATCCATATTTATAGTGCGAAGCATATAGTGAATGTAATTTTATTGAAACGACGCACTAGTCCGTATTATGCTCTCAAAGGTTTAACCCACTATAGTACACCCATCTTGACTAATCGAAAATTTGATTTTAATGCAACTACGACTTTAGAAAATCATAATTGTTCAAATAAAAGTTCAAAACATTATTTAAAGATTGTTTTATCACATAGTAATCCGTAATTAGGGCTTATAGCTAAAAATATTTTATGGAAGGACAAAAATGATTTTTTTAAGGATTGAAAACTAAACAAAGCAAAGTTTGACTTTGGTATAAAAAAAAGAGGTATCTCTCATTGTCAGTTCTAGCGCTAGTCTTATAGCGGAAAACTCCGTTCCGTATCTCGGACAACTTTTCCCCTTTTTCTTATGATAAGAGTCATCGGAACGGTATACTTCGGATATTTCTGAAGAAGATCCCAAATATAATAATCTTAGAAAAGTGTTGCCGATTTTTGTTAAATTGCAAGCCGATTCAAATTCCAGAGTTAAGTGGCAAACTTTAGATACAAGAGATACGAGACATTCAAGAAATATTCTCTGCTATTGGCAGTAGGCGTTTAAAGGAACATGACATCTACCTAATGCCTCGAATTCGGGCTTCAGTTGTAAAATTAAATTTTAAAGGTACAGACAAGTAAAAATTCAATTTCGATGCCGATATTCTGCTCCCCTTTCTGCGGGCAGCCAGTCAGCGAACTGCTGCGTTTGCTGAACTGTGAAAGGGAGTCGCACACTGCTAAGAATTGTAAGCGGCTCAGCCCACATTGGAACTCGGAGGAGCGGCGATGGAGTCAACGGAATGCGAGCGTATTAAAAAACCTTGCTAGTATAGTACAAAAGCCGCTACATCAAGTTAGCAGCTTTATGTTTGAGTTAACTATGAAAAAATTTGGCGAGATTATTAATCCGAAATGCTCTCGCTGGACCCATTGCCGGGTGCCGTTCGTTCGGCCATACACTTGTTTACTCTACGATGGCATTTACGATCGCCGAGGCAATCTTCGACCATCCTTTCATCCGTATGTTCTTCAGTTAGTGGTTAAGATATTGGATCATTTTTTGAATTTACCTTGCGAGGTAGACAAGCCGCCGAGTAAGAGACCAGAGTATGAAATGTTTAGCAGCAGGAAGGGGACAACGTGCAAGGACTTTTTTAAAAGTGGAAAGAATGGCAATGCAGATTTGGCGAACTTTTTGGAGAATCCGACGTTTAGGTTTGGTGATGATTCGCGTAATGATGATGTAAATGGCAGATCGGGTGACGATGGTATTAATGATACAGATGCAGATACAGACAGAGATGGAAATAATAGTAATGAAAATAATGGATATGGTGAGGAAAGGGATAAAAATAAGAATAAAAATACAAATGGCGATGGCAATGGAAATAGAAGAGGAAGTCAAGATGGAAGTGATGATGGAAGTGACGATGGAACTGGGAATAAAAATAAGAATAGAAAGAAAAAAAACGCTGGTGATGATGACAATGGCGGTGTAGGTAAAAACGCTAAAAACAAAGGCGGCAAAGCCAAAGGTCGCGATAATAAGAAAAGCATCGCTGAAATTTCAAATTTGTACTCAAATGTTGTCGAAAATAATCAGCCCTTGATGAAGAAAAAGCCACCACCAAAGAAGAAGCCCTTCAGAGGAGCCGGCCGAAAATACTTGGGCTTGATGCTACCTGTGCTAATGCATGAACCATTTGATGATACAAAACCGTGGACTTGGATCCGTCGACATCCCATACAAGAGCGATTGCTCGAAGGAATTAGAGTTGGACGTGCCAACATACATAAGTATAAGCGTGCATCTCTTGAGGCACAGCTCCAACTAGCCAGGATACGGCAATCGGTGGGAAGTATATATGGGGTTAAGGATCACCCATCGATCATTTCTCTTGATATGTTTGGCAAGGCTGAAGTTCAAAAGAAAGGCACACCATTGCTTCAACCATTTAACTATAAGAAACTTTTTGAGAAGCCTGAAGAATCAACCACTGTAGCTTCCAAGGCCACCTCAGCAAAAAAACCAGTCCGTGGTAAATAACATAATACTTATGTAAAAATCTCACCAAATAATATCTATATAACAAATAACTTTACTTGTGTTCTCTTTGTGATTTGTGATAAAAGAATGAGAGGGGAGGGGTTTACGGATCTTTTATATTTTATATATTCAGTGTGTGGTCCAAAGTTATTTAAGACCATCACAGTTTGATTACAGAGTTAGATTAATTATATATGCCAATTGGGATTACGTTGAATAGGGGAAATGAATAGGTTTAGAATAGAATGGTCCCATAAATTATCATACTTAAACCAAAATTTATTCTCGTATGTGTTTCCAAGAACCAAAATAAACCCTGAAATTTTATTGGTTCACTTTACTTAAATGGAATGTATAATATATATAACCATAATGAATATTTTATATTTAGATCAAATGAAGCTGTAGACAAAAGCTCCTTACATACATATATTTGTTGTTTGAGCGACTCGACGATCGAGATGTGGCATAATTATTGCGCATTTAGTAACATATGTGATTAGGTTAATGTGTGTAGAGATTTCCTTTTGTATTTGCTCGAAACTCAAGCAATATTCATGGGGCGACTTGGGGTCTTTACAGTCGACCTTCTCATTTCGTTAGTTTTATGTAAAATTGTCGAGTTTTAGATAAACTTTATACGCCCAATATATATGTATAAATAATTATATTTGTTACTCATGTGTTTATATAAATTAAAATAAAATAAAATAATATTTATTTTAGTTTAATTTAGTTGTATTTTATATGCTGGCAGCTACATTTTAAAACACCCTGTGCCTTCAGCACCCTGTGTACATATTCAACTCAAAGCTTGAACAATTTCTCTTGAAATGCCTTTCAAGCCCAGCTTTGTATTTTGCAGCAAAAACTGAGTGAAGTGCCCACTGTTCGAGCCATCTATCGTTCAACTGATTCACACCACAAACAGCTTGAGAGCTCCGAAGGCAGAGACTTCGTATTTGTTTAATGCTCATTTGTTCGGGCCGCGACATTTGCCAAAAAAGACAAAACAGACAGACAGAAAAAAGACGAGAAAACGCGACGATGTTTGCCCGTTCGTCTCGTATCTGTACACTCTTTACATATTTCTTTTCGCAGAGTCTGTTTGCATGTTAGGCCGTATCCACTTAAATCGATAAAAACTATCAAATCTGTTTTGGGGCGTTTATGCCGTTGACTCCCGATGACGTTGCTGCTGTCGTTGCTGTTGCCTTTGTTGTTGCCTTTTGGGCTGCCCTGTCGTATGAGTGACGACTCATACGACATGTGCGCCTCGATGATGCGCCACCATGTTTGCGATGCCATGCTCTGCCATGCCCTGCCCTGTGTCAGCTTTAGACTTGGTCTTGGTCGCCACTCATTTTTCGGCCATGTTGCGTATGCTGTCAAATCTCTTCCGCTCCAGCCTTTCGAATGCTGTTGGCATTTTTTCTTGGCAGCAGCTACCGAAAATTTTTAGCCATTGTTGTTGGGAAATGTCCGTTCTGGCACCGAGTTGGCCCAAGACCATTGTGTTTGGCTCTGCTGTGGAATGGGGCTCGTGCGTTAGGCCGAGCAAAATGGCAAAATGGCAGAGCAGCCAACAGCCAACAGCTAACAGCCAACAACCAACAGCCAGCAGGCATCAGCTAGCAGCCAGCAGCCAGCATTTCAGTTCTTTTTACTGTTGTCAAGTCGACAACACAAATACACAAAGACACATAATCATATATTGATATCCAAGTGTATGTAAGAATGCGCACAAAGGCGCCGCCATTAAAGAGTCACAAGCGAATGAGAGGAATCCCATGGATTGGACTATGAACCATCCATCTATGAAACATTTGTCACATCTCTTGTCCAGACGAGTTCAATTTGTAATTCTTTATACTTTATATCTTTGCATTTAATATAATTTAATCAAATTATTTATATTAAATAAATCTCTTCTCATCTTTGAACTGAAGTAGTGTATAAAGCATAAAACAAATTGTCTGTTTTATGGGCCTTGAGCTGGCTGCGAACTGATCTCAAATCTGTCGTGACTGAATAAAACAGTTTAATGCAGCCATTTCCATTTAATGTCAACGACTTTTTCTAATGCTTTATTTGTCATTTTTATATTAAGACAAACATCACGCACTCGTAACGTTCATATGATATGAATTGCGTGTTCAGAGTTGATAATTCAGTTCGACCATAAATGATGTAAGTCCTAATCCTTAATCATTAAAAGATAAATTATTATTCAGACACTCAGAGCAATTGGTTAGTAAGAATATTAATTATCATAGTGTACAGTTAATAAGATTCACTAACGGTTAACTAGAGTCTAGAGTGACTGACAAAATTCTATATAAATTCTCAAATTCCTTAGTTCCATTGTGTTTCCGGTTTTGCTTTGTGTGTTTCCAACAACATAATTGCTGTAAGTTTTTTCTTTTTTTTTTCTCTCTTGTCGTCGCCAACAATCGAAATACATTTTAGACTTTAGGACATTTGACACAGTGGTTAAACTTTTGTATCCGCTTGTTGTCAAAAAAATGTCCGAATTTGTATTGATATATTTGAGTATTTGTTGTGGGCAATTAGAGGGGAGCTGGAAGGGAACTGGAAGGGAGATATGCAGTGCAGTGTATAAGGAAAGTTTTCTAGAATGAATGAGGAGATGGATTGGATTATAAATTAAGCAATAGTTTCTGTAAATGATAAATTATCTACAAATCAATCTCAAGCTACTTAAAAAATACTTTGACTTTTATTTCTATCAAATACAAATTTCCAAATATTTATTCAAATTGAGCTTTAAGCAACATTATTTGCGACTGTTTAAGCTTTTGGTTTATAGTGTTTAATTTAAGTTAATTCTTGCTATAATTTGTTAATTGTTAATGTTCTAAGAATTGCTAGATAGCATTGTACTGATAAACAAAAAAAGTGAAATGTTTATCAGCATTTAACGTTTACTGTATGAGACATTTTCTTATCAATTTGAAATGTTTTTAATACACACTTGTAGAGGAAATACATATATCATTTTGTATTGCATATTGTTACAGTGAAATTGTGATGCAT